TACCAAAATATTTATATAAAAGATAAAACTAGGGTTGCTAATCTGTCCGTTCAGTCCGACTCAGTCTAAAGACTAAGCTGTGGTCTCAGACCAATGGGGATCCAAAATATATCATAAAATGACATAATATATTTATTAATATTTTCTTACCTCTCGAATGCCTGTTTCCCATACTCATATCGCGTCGCTCGTCATGGCTTATTCCGATGTGTACTACGTTATTAAATCGAATGCACAACCCAGGATCAACAGTTCCTAACGATGACCAGTCCTAAGACGAATCGAAGGACCGGACTAACGCTAACATCCAGATAAAACTGCTATCGTTATATTAAATCCTTGTAAATAAATAAATTATATTAATATGCAAAATCAATTGCAAATTAATACAAATATATAAAACTAATAAGCGTTAACTTCAAATGCTGTATATGATAATACTTTGATTTTCAAATAAAAGACCAAAATTTCGAGTTAATACAGAAGCACAAATAATAACTAATGATAGCAATAAAAGAGAACAAATGCGAGATGAATCATAAACCAAAAATAGATAAGTTTTTTAATATGTCAAACCAGTTGGAACCGTAATTTTATATATGAAAAACAGCTGCGGTTCCGTACCATTAACACCCCTGACCAAAATGTACACGTAATATTAGAATACATGCGCTTATTTTGTTTAATTTGCATTCTAACTTATCTATGTTCAATAGTCTTAGCTAAAAAAATATTTGTTTATAAAGATTTAGCAGAAGGAATAAACAAATGAGTTTATTTTCGAAGTTTCCCGAAGTGAAATGATTGATGCTCAAACGTGTTATGTGAGTGTTGGCAAATGTCAATGTCATTTGTTATTTTTTAAATGATTTTTGTTACTTGAAGTCTATAATAAATAGATGTCATTTCAGTGTTATTTGCCATCTGTATATGGACCGCACAAGTAGAAACCGATACCCCTACAATATATTACCGGAAATTTTAAAAATGAATTTGTCCCGATATATCGACATTCAGTGATTCCATTCGAACAAAGATATTACCATTAAATTCGCATAGTAGAGACGAAGCTAATGGTAATATCTTTGTTCGAATGGAATCACTGAATGTCGAGATATCGGGATAAATTCATTTTTGAAATTTCTGGTAATATATTGTAGGGGTGTCGGTTTCTACTTGTGCGGCTCATACATGATTCTTCAGCCAATAAATGCTCATCGATTCAAGAGAATGAAAATTAAAAAGCTACTGATAAGTACCATTTATTAGAATTCTTTATATTTATACTATTGTATATATAAATTCAGTTGCCAACTTAATAAGCATAAAAAATGTTTAGCGCCCAAATAATATATCTTTTTTATCGTAACAGTAAATACATACTTCTCGCAGAAAAACATGACTTGCTGAGCTAAATTATTTTATTTTAATGATATAAATTATATATATATACTAATACATCTACAGAAGTCACCGAACATTATAATCTTCGGACTATAATTTTTTGCAACTAGTAATTAAAATTAATGATTTTTAGTGCATTGGATTTGTCTTATAGAGACGAACGTTTTGATAATTATTTTATACAAAACAAACTAATATTTGCTGAGTTATTTTATTTTAAAGTCATTATAGTGACTGGTCATAAGAACACTATATTGATTTGTAGAAAATTTGGTTTTAGGATAGTCAGTTTTAAAGGCTGTACACCTAATTAAATCTTCGAAACTTGTATTTCAAAGAATTATGGGAATTTATAAATCATATAAACGTTGATTCCAATTAAAAGATGCAAATAAAATACGTCTTAAAAACATCAAAAAAGATCAACTATCAAATGAAGAACCATCCACTATCAGTCAAACAGTCTAAACTTCGTTTGCCTTCAAACAAAATTGATAAAGAAAATTTGTTAGAAGGGTTAAAAGGAATAAGAGCAAGAAATACAATTACCGATATTTGGGTCCAATATTGCTTCGGATCTTTTTAATCATTTATTATGTAAATAATTAAAATATTTTTGATTTTATATAATTTCGCTGTCGTTTTTTAACGTTTCCACATATAATTTTGATTTAGATGTACGTATACATGTACGTACCACAAATTTCACATATGTAGCCACAATGTACGTATAGCTTTGAAATTTTCATTCATGGCTATGCGATTAAAATAGAGATGATGGTTTATCGTTGTAAACCAGTTCAGTTTTCAGATTCAAATTATGAAAGAAACTTTTATATTTTTAAATTGAAAACCATTATTATGCGATATTACTTTCAAAACTAAGTTTGAACATGGATTAATTTTTAATCGATCAATATCGATATCGATACGTATGTATTAACGTTAACAAGTGATTAATGTCATTTATTATTAAAGGTAATTAAGAAAAATTTAATTTGATCACTAACATTTTTTAATAGTAATGCGATCAATTTATATAATAATTTCTAGAGGATAAGAAGGACCATTTTGTGGCTTAAAATTTTTCTTGTGCTGACCACCACCATACGTAATGACTTTTGATGAGCATTATTATTCCCGTAATAACCTCCTGCATTGAATTCAGCCGATATTCCCGTTTTGGTTGCCTGTCTCAGAAAAACTACCGCAAGGTTCCCAAGAACAATAAATATGTCATTTTGGCGCCTATATAGTGACAAAAGTGTAGAATTTGTAAAGTATCAAATTTTTTTAAAACTATATTAACGTCAAGCAATTTAAAAACAATAAGTCATGTTTTTACCTTCCTATCCATAATGATTCTGCATAACATAATAATATTGCTATTACAAACCATTAGGTTATCTTGCATTTTTTGTTTAATAAATGTAATCAGGTTTAATTAAAAGATGCGAGGCTTTAGTCGTTCGAAGCCTATTTATAAATAAATCTAGCTGGATAATTTAATGCATATAAATTGTTTTGGCGTTTGTATAGCCACGAAAGTGTGGCTTGGACAAAAACTCATTATTTTAAAGAAATATTGAATGAGAAAGTGCAGTGCCATAATATTACGAATTTATTTATGCAGATTAGTTTGGAGTATTTTCGTGAGTCTTTATGGCCTTTCCTTCTTCCTAGAATTATTGGGCTTATGAGAATTGAATAATTTAAGGGACAAAGAAATTACCATTTTAATTTAGTAATTGAAGCATATATATGTTTTAATTAATATGTTTGTTTATTTCTATACAAAAAATTATTTTTCTTCTCCCCTGAAGGTGGTAAAAATTTAATATTTAGGCATGTAATTATTATTCGACCCTTTCTACCTGTGAGGTATATTTATTAATATAGCGAAAATATTCTTAATAAAATAGTTATTTAAGCAGCCAAGTTGAACTGACGATGATTCTAGGAAAATTAACATTTGTAGTAATAGTACTAGCAAATAGTGCTTATTTCAAAGTCATCAATGCTCAAAATAACGGTGTAGATATACAAGTAGCTGTTTCGATCAAAATCAAGATAAAAAATTGAAATCTCAATATCAATATAATATTCCATTTTATCAATTATTTTTCTTTATTTGATCAATTATCAACATTCAAGTTGTTTTTTCAAGTTTCTGAAAAAATATCTTGCTATCTCTATGAAAATGGAAAAGGAACAACACAAAGCATTTGAAATAACACAATTATTTCTAAGATTTTGTTATGAAACAAATGAAGAAAATAAAATTATGATGAACCTTATTTGAGTATCTTTCACATTTTCGACTTGGGTGATGTCATGAATACGGAGAAGGAACAGAAAAAGATGACTGCAGAGCATTTGAATGGTATTCAAAAGCAGTCGAGTCGCAATATAGAAAAGTTTTGTTTAATTTTGGAGTATGGAATAGCAAAATCTCGACCTGGCATTAAAATGATATCAAAAGCTAAAGAAAACGGATACGATCGTGCTCCCGAATGGTTGTAGCTTAAACAGTTAGTTTAATACTTTTGTTTAATTTTGAAATAGTAAAATTTAGTGAATATTAAAGAATATAATACATTTTATATAAATAGCTCATATTTCCCATTTCTGAGTACAGTCAAACCCCTCTATATTCACACCCATTTATAGTCACAACCCTCTATAGTCACCTTATTTTGCTTTCCCATTTATATATAAACACAATAAAACCCCTCTATAGTCACCCAATTTTGCCTTCCCGAGATTGACTATAGAGAGTTTTGATATTCTATATCTTCTTACATCTCAGTATCATACGATTCATTCTGGGAATCTCCATATAATCACACCTTTGGGACCAAAAATTAACTGGAGTCTTCAAAGAGAGAAATAAACATGAAGATAGTTGTTTAAAAATGAATAATAATTTATCAGATATTTTACAAAATATGCAAGTTATGCAAATATGATTTGATATATGCCAAATACGTAATATCGATATGTTTTGATAATTTTAAAGTGATGGAGTTATTACTAGAAGAAAAAATTCGGGAACACGCGATCAAAATTTTTACCTCTGTCAACATTAATCTAACAAAACATCTAGGAATTTTTTTCGTCCTACCGCTATGAAAATTATTGGATAGAGAATAACAAAGTAAGAATGCTATCGCTATGTGTATTTGATACCGATACGTACTGTAGCGGTAGCATTAAACTTTAACCAATGATTGGCTTACATATAACGTTAACGTTAAGTAGAAAATACTGTTTTACAGTCACCTAATTTAAAATGACCATAGAGGGATTGTTATGATCTTCCATTCTTTGGTACATGTACATGCATTTGGCAAAAATTGTGCCAGCTTGGTTTTGCATTTATCAGCTAAATGAATTGTTAAACTCTAACGCTAATCTACTTTCTAAAATGCTTTTTTAGAAAGAAATTAAAAAACTCCGAATGTAATTTTTATTTGATTCGGTTCGGATTGATAAACCAGATTCGAATCACGAATCATATATTAATATGAATAACCAATACGTACGTAGTTCTATTAAAAATAAAAACAATAAAATTCGGCAATGAGAAAACAACCTTAATTAAAGTTGACATCTCCTTTTTCAGCCACACATTTCAAAGTGTCGACCAATCCACGAACAAATGTTTCTATTTTGTCGTCGGAAATTGCGCCTTCTTGATACGTTACTGTGCCTCGAAAATTGTCGCCATATGTTACGACGTTAACGTAGAAAGCCGCGCCAACCACCTATAAATTAACTTTATTAAATATATAACCTGCATTGCTCCCGAAATTAAAGAATAAACATAAAACTTACATTTGCACACTGTGAAAATGTCATATCAATTATTTCCCATTTTTCTTCTTGTTTCGCACTTACTTCTGGATCAGTACCGTCTCTTTTTTCATCATCCTCATCATCAGTAACAATCCATCTTCCCAAATTCGATATTTTACCGGAAGCTTCTCTTCCCATTCCATCGTTATCTTTTGCAAACCGCCATCCTTTCATCAATTTTATCCACTCTTCGTAACGCTTTCCCACAAATCTCAGCAGCCAGATCCTGTGCATAGCCTCAGGTTTAATTTTTAGAAAATCTCTTTGCCATTCTCTTGCTAATTTCCAAAACTCTATCTTATGAATTCTTCCCACTAGTATATTAGAATCGAAATCTACCACGTAGACACCCATTTCATTTGGGGAGATTGGTGGATTAGTGATCGGACGAAGAGAAATCGGTGTTGATATTTTAAGGGATAAAGTGTTACTGGTTACCGTTACCGGTACAAGATATTTTGTAGCAGAAGATAGTACTGCCGCGTATAACACGGCTTGAATTGTGCTACCTTCGTTTTTAGCGTATCCATATACTTTTTGAAATTCATCTTTTGTCAGTGTGAATATTTTTACTTTTGTGTGATAAGTATCCAGAGATTTTGAAGGAATGTCTCCTGCCCAGTATTTATTTTCTATAACTGTTCGAATGAAAGACGGGATAATAAGATGTGGTGCTACAAGAGGAACGATTTTATGAAGAGGAGGACGAAGTGAAATTCTTTCGTTGATTGGTCGTGGATGTGGTCTTAGCGGCGCATCGACTTTTGCTTCTTTTCTGAGTGCAGTATCATCAAGTTTCGGTCTATTCGGATCAAATAAATCCAAATTTTCGTTCAAAAATTTGTAAAATAAATTATGCAACGCAAAAGAACTTTTTCCGTCACCAATTCCATGATGATATACAAACAAAACACCAAGCTCGTTCCTCCGTGCTTTATTCAACACAAATACCACACGCCACAACGGTATATTAAAACTATCCTGACTAAATTCAATATGATGTTGTGCCTCCATTAATCTTTCTAATTCCTGGACTTCAATTTCATTATTATCATTGTTATTGTTATTGTCACTATCATTAATAGTCACAAAAGTGACAATCGATGATAAATCTATCACAGGAATATGCACAAAACTCGGCGAATTAGATTTTATACCAAAGAACGCAGCCGAAAGCGCCGGATGTCTCAAAACCAGAGACCTCAGTGCTCTATAGAGTATTGGCGTTATTTCTGACCTCACATTTGCGAATGGAATCGATGGCAATTTTTTGTGGGTGTAGCGTACGTAGGAGATGATGTTTTTGTAGTAGTTTAGCTCCTGGCGAATTGTGAAGTATCGTTCAAGCGGTACGAGTGGACGAAGTAGTTGTACGTTTGGTGGTAAAGGTTCACAAGACATTTTATTTTTGTTTTCCTTCGTTACTATGATGTTATATATTGATATTATTCTCGGAAATAATGTATTTTTTTGGAAAAACCAAATACATGTGACATCTAATGCTAAATACATAATACCCTAGCCACGGCAAAAAAGTGTCGATCACGTGATGATACAACCAATAAGAATGCGCGCAACCAATAGGAATGTAGCAAATTTTTGCTCAACTCGGAAAACAAATCCGACACAAGAAAATAAAAAAGACAAAAAATGCGAAAAATACAAAAAACAGATATCTAAATCTAGCTTGACACTATCAAAAAATGTCGGGAAGACAATTTTATATATAACCTTAATCTCAGCTCTAACTCTAACCTAATACTTGATATCTAATATTAATCGGATATTTTAATGAACTTATTTCAGATCACGTGACCAACACTTTTTTTGCCGTGGCTAGGGTATTACTAAATACGAGCGTGTACATATCAAAAAAATAAATTTCTTTGCATAGTGATACATTACGGAAATTAAAACCGATCTGGAATAAATATTAACCCATCGGCATTTTTGTATTCATCGGGTTCTTTATAAAATTTCTCGACCAAATTAAGCCTGGTTTGGCTGCTAACGCTGATACATCTTCGGAAACTAATTCGCCTTATTGCTACAATATTGTCGTCTTTCTTGCGCAATCAAGCCTACTATTTTAATATTTCTGCCAATTTTCCCTTAAAACAACCCAACTCAAGCAAAATCTTACTCATAAAAATGAAGGAACATCATAATTTCATTGGTTTTTAAAAAATTCAAACCGAATATTTGTAATTTAAGCTAAAGCTCTTCTTCCATTTTGATGCATCTTTAACCTTAACACAAGATTATAAACCAATTATCTGTTCGAGCTGAAATGATAGTGAGATTTTGAACAAACAGTTGATCGACTTACGCGTCATTGTAGTTGTGTATTTCAAAAAAAAATAGGTAACCATGTGTATATATAACTCTAATATTGAAGATAGTTCAAAATGAATATATTGATTAGATTTTTCACTTTTAAGATATTCATATTTGGCTTTCTAAAAATACCACATTAAATAGATTTAAACTTGTATAGGTTGTTTATGTATAGCAAAAAATTTTGTAATTATCTTTGTTATGAACATATGAATATTTAATGTAGTGAAAAATTATTCAAATAATTGGAAATTGCTAAGGTGATAATATGAATAGGTGATATTTTTGTGCATAGTAAATCCAGACCTTTAGTTAAAATCGGAATGTATGAGTAGCTATAATGTATAAACAATGCATAAAATTAAATTTCAGAAATATCATATCTCAATAACATATAAAGGAAAAAAAGAAATTTATTTCCATTTGCCTCAATATTGCTCAGGTAAAACAAATCTTTCGATCAGTGTTCTACATACACCACTTGATACATTTCATAATTTTCAATTTCAAAATTCTTTGTCCCATCAGAGCTCAATAAACCATCTTTTTAAACAGTAATTTTTATAATTACCGTATATCTCCGAAAATAAGCTACCTTTTTTTGCACAATTTTAGACTTGAAAACTTAAGGGATAGCTTATTAAGCTTGTATATATATTGCATGATTTTAAGGCTTGAAAAATGGAGGTAGCTTATTTTCGGAGATATACGGTAGTAAAATCGGAACCACAGAGCTAAATCACAACCACTTACACAAACTGGACCATTATCTGCATAGCATCTCACACTCCATCTTTTTTGATATTTGCTTAGAACTGTTTGTATTCTTAATCCATCACGACTACCTCGTAGCTTCAACTCAAGAGATTTGTTTTTCTGATTATCACCTTGTTCTCGAAAATTGTTTCATACAGTGCTCGCCATATATAACGAGAATGTTGTTTTTTCTTATTTTACTATAAATAAAAAATCGAAAATATATGAAAATTTGCAGATATACAGTTTCATATATTGCGATCAAGTTAACTTAAGACTACTTTATAGAATAACTTATTGTAATTACATCGAATTATCTGATCGAATCCTAATAGTACATTTTAAATGAAACAAAGACAATTAATCTAAATGGTAGTTTTTTTATTACGTCATGAAAATTGATCGAAAACATATAAAAATTTAAATATATACACTTTGATATATTGCAAACAAGTTTTCTTAAGGCAACTTAGTAGCTTAAAATATTAAAAAAGCTAAAAAAATTTTTTTAATTAAATTTAATTTATAGCATTATATCAAATTTAAGCTCGAATATTAGAAATCAGATATGTTATTAAGTAGTCTTAAGAAAACCTGTTCGCAATATATTAAAGTATATATCTGTAAATTTTTATATATTTTCAAGCAGTCTTTATAATGCAAAAATAAAAAAAGGCATATGTTTCTCATTATACATGTACATGTATATGGCGAGCACTGTACTACTGGAAATGTGATAATGAACCACTAAAAGAGCACCATGTGAAACCTGGGGGTGGTAATATAATGGTTTGGGGTTGCTTTTCATCCTTTGGTGTTGGCAATATCGTGCGCATTTATGGTCGTATGGATAAGGAATTGTACCGTGAAATCTTAAATGATGATTTTTTAGGAACAATCAGGTGGTATGATATTAATAAGAACGATATTATCTTTCAACAAGACAATGATCCATAACACACAGCAACATCTACATATGAATGGTTTGATGATAATGAAATTCGTATACTTGATTGGCCTCCCCAATCACCCGATATTAATCCAATCGAGCATCTCTGGAACGAAATACGTAGACCGACGTTTGAGAAGATCATCCATTGCTACTCAGGGATGCGATACAAAAAAGTCTGGATCGAAATGGATAATGCATTTTTAACAAGTTTAATTGAAAGTACGTATGGAAGAGCGTATCCAAGATGTAATCAATGCAAAGGGTGACTACACTAGATGGTAAAGAATATTTAGTTAAAATTTGGTGGAGTTTTATTTGCTAGTTAGTTAGAAATTCAATTTGAATTTCTGTAATCAAAACGTCAAAAGAAACGGATCACTTAATTTAATGTAAAAATAGATTATTTTTATTTTTAAGTTACGGATGAAAAATAAAATAAATATAATAATTCTTTTATATTTGGTGAATAAAATAAGCCTAGTTAAAAAAAAAATGTCGTCTCTTTCACCCGTACACCTCACGGGTATCTCAAACAACGTCTCACAAAATTTCGAAACTCAAAACTGTGTTCCTTCTCAGCAAGAATTCAATGAAACTTCTCCTGGTCTTGTCTCCAAACGTACCCGG